TTCATACTCTCTTCCCTAATTCAGATTTTTCTGCCTAAAGAGAAAAACATACAGTTTTGATTCTAAAATGTCCCCTACCAGGTAGGAGAAGATGACTTCATATTAGCTGGCATTTGGGGCTTGGTACTCTCAAATCTTCAATTCAGCATTAAAAATGCCTGCTGAGCATCTTGGCTACATTTTTGAGAAAATAATTAAGTTTAAGGAAATAAAGGCTCCTTAAGGAAAAATATTATTAAAATATTTTAAAATTTAAATATTATTACATTTATAATAATTTTCCCATTACTCTTCATTATTTCCATAAGACTTGGAAATGCAACACTTGGAGTAAATACTGTTCTTAATTAAAGTTTACCAAAGATTCACCATGGACCGTTTCTTCTGTTAAGTAGCAAACCATTTATTTTGTGAATTTCCTGGTTCATCCTTGATTCAAGTGGAAACAAAGTTCTTTAGGATAACTTTCAAGTTATGAATCATAAAACTCTGTCACAATCTTCTGCTTGTTAGAGCCCACTGTCTGCAGAATGAACAGTATGACTTTCCTCTCTTAAGAGTTGCTAACCAACATGGGAGATTTCTTCAAGTCTTCAGGATGGTAAACTGAATTCCCATGTTCTTTTCCTGCCTTGCTACTAGGAAAACCTCCTGAATTTCTCCAACCCACCAGTGCTCCTCCCCTTGTTTACAGGACCTTGGTCCTTAGTGTATCTGCCATATAATTAAGTGGTCCATATACAGTATGTCAGGTTCACAAGCATGGGTTTTATCTCACTAGCTAGATCATAAGTTCTTCAAGGATGAAAAACCTTTTTCCTTTACTTTGCATCTTATCCAAGACCTCATGCTAGCTAGGTATACAATGGATGTTTAACAACTACTTAGTTAATCTATTAATTGATTGGATTTTAAGTTTGAGAGTGAATGGCAGCAATAGGCCATGGATTATCATCGTTGTCAGAAATTTCACCTAAGAACGAGGCTGTCTACAGATCACTTGTTCTAACATGACCTGAACTGGCCTACTGAAGTAACAGATAACACTGCAGAAAAGCTGGTCCTTACAAGTTTTGTTTTTCTAGCTTGCTTTGTCAATGCATTCCATTAAGAGGTGAACTCCTCATTCCTTTTGCTCAAAAACATATTTAGAAAATGGTCTTAAAGAGATCTGGCACCAGAGATTAAGTTGGCCAGGCCCCCCTCTAGGAACTGAGAGATAAAAATCAGTGACAGATGTCAGAGGTATCTTTTTATGCCAGAACTCTTCGCAAAAAAGCCACACGATGCAGAAAACATGATTTCATTCCACACACTGAACCTCAGGTACCCCTGGGTAGAATCTGGAAATTCAGAAGGCCATAAGCAAAAAAGCCCTCCAAATAAAGCACTAGCTAGGCAGGGCCATGGTAAAAAGGAGACCAAGTAGATAGCTGCCCAAACTGTGATTTCACCAGCATTGGGAAACACCTTCCGATCTCTGCTTTTAGGTCCTCTCTTATGTAAGGCCTAAAATTCCATCACCTAGATTCCTCACTTTATTTCAACATGTGTATCTGTGTAACACAACAAACAGCCCCAAGGAAGGTAATGACTAGGGTCATTTACATGTCTGTATGAAAGGAAGGAGTAGGCACAGGTTTGGCTTATAGGCAAAGGGGAGAACTGAGCACTCAAAAAAGCCCTGAGTGGAACTGAACATCTGCACCTTGACAATCTTGCTCAAGGCCTGGCCTGGTATCAAAGTCATATCACTAAAACCAGAGGTCAGGGTTTCTACACGTTAATGGAATGGCAGGTCCCTTTTTTTCACCCAACCATTGTTAGCAGATCAGAATGGTATAGGGAGACTCCTAACCTTTAATCCCATTCTCTAAGGCTCATGGAATTTACCAGTAACCACAGGACAGGTGGAGTTCTGAACCTCTAGGATGGCCAGGCAGGAGGAAGTGCTGTAGTAACAGCACCAGGAAAGCCCTATTCTCAAGTATTTTTACTTGTAATGGGCTAGGACTGGCAACTCCTTTATTCTTTCTACAGGCGTCTCTGTTTGAAGTTTGGACAACAAAGAGTTATCTATTTTAACCATTCTTCAGAAAAGCATCTCTGACTTTTCTCAAAGACTCAGATGTTCCTTGTACTTGTCAGAAAACAAATGTGGCTTCAGCCAACATCTGAAATGGAGAAAAATATAGCAACCACCAAAAAACGATAATTAAATTAATAAGGAATGCTTTTCAGACATAACATCCCATAGGCCAAAAAAATGTTTTCAGAACTACAGAGAACAAAGTTATAGAAGTTACTTAGAAGCTAAATTTAAGTGGATTAACTGCTGAAGGGGACCATGCAGGGGCAGACCACTGTGACCTGTGGGCCACGAGAAGTATGGCACCCCCACTGGTAGGTGGAGGAACCCATGAATGACAGAGTATCTTTTTATGCCAGAACTCTTCGCAAAAAAGCCACACGATGCAGAAAACATGATTTCATTCCACACACTGAACCTCAGGTACCCCTAAGGGGTACCTGAGTAAAAATGTACAAATATGTGTTACAGGTTTAGAGGCAGGTTTATCATTTCACTGCACATTTAGAATCTACAGCCAGGTTGTTCAGCTATTCTAAAATAAGACACCTCAAAAAGATGCCTTGATGGTCATCCGGCCCCACCTCAGATGCACTGCAGAAATCTAAAAAATATACACAACATATGATCAGTTTTCCTTGATGACATTCAATGACCAGCAGCTCAGTATTATGGAAATCTGTTCGTTCTCTTGATGCAGAATGTTAACTCTCACAAAATTCTTCCTTATATTAAAATCTGAAATCTATCTCTTACTTTCCCATTGGGAGCACAAGAGAGAAATGATGTGCCTTCTGTCATACGGCTGCCTCTCAAATATGTAAAGACCATTACCATGTTGCCTCTAACTAGTCTTTTCCAGTCTAACTATTTCCAGATGTTTAGCTTCCTCCTCATCTTGGTCACCTTCTCTGGATAAATATTAGTTTATCAGTGACCCTCCTAAAATGGGAAGCCCACAGCATAATAACATAATAGCAGAATGATATGGGTTTAGTCTGACCAGCAGAGTTCAGGGGGATTATAGCCTTCACTACCTAGAAGCAGCAACTGTGTCATACTGCTTCCTCAGGGCTCACCAGGAAATCCGATTCCCCAAGATTTTTTCATAAAATCTGCTATGAAGCCGACAGTTCTCATTCTATATGTATGTAATTTTGACTTCTTTTTACAAAATCAGAACATGATATATATCTCTATTAAATGTTATCTTGATAGTCTCAGCCCATCAATCCAGTCTTCCAAGGCTACTTTGAAATCATATTTTTCAATTATGGACTATATTAGACATATCAAATAAAAAAGAGTAGAGAGAATAATATAACAGCCATTTGCCCCAAACCCAGCTTAAGAACACATCACAAATAAAACAAGCTCCTAATATATGCTTCCTTAATTTTATCCCCTCCTTCCCTGCTTCATAAAGGTAATGGCTACTAGCCTGAATTTGTGTCTGTCACTCCCATGCTTAAAGACTATTTTGAATGGGAGTCCATCACCAGTTATATTTCTCTTATATGCAAACCTAATAAGCACGCAATCTAGTCTGTCTTCATTTTAAGTAAGTAATTCAAACGCTGAATAAAGCAGCATTGGCCTCATCTATCAGACTCCTAATCCCATCAAAACAACGAGGTGACTCAGGCATGACTAATTCTTAGGGAATCCTTACTAGCTCTCAGCAAATAAAGTATGAAGCACTTGCAAGTAATACATTGAATGATCCAGTCTAAAACAATATCAACACAATTGTTTGGTCACTGATAAAAATATGCCTTTTCCTCTCTCTTTTGAAATCTTTCTGCAAGCTCCCAGGATAACATTCCCATGCCACACACCCCCCAAATTACTGACTTGGCTCTAGGCTAACTTGTACCTGAGGCTGTAAGTTATCTGGGTCCAAGGATTTGCCTTTATCCACAAGAGACAGTGTTCTTTTTCTATCACCTCACCTACATCTGGTTTCAGGGCCTTCCTTCCAGTTTACTGGCAAAGACAAAGCTGAAGCAGGAGTTAAAAAAAGTCTGCCCTCTATCACCTTATACCATCAACCCCTTCCTCTCTCTAGAATTTTTCTTAACCAACAAACTAAGGGGCTTTTATCTGCTATTTTGTAGTCAGGATTATCCCCATTATACAGACTGACAGCCTGAAGCACTAAGGGGCCCACTTTTTCGTGCCACATTAATCAGGAGGCTTTCCCCCACGTATTTTGGCTTGTTTATAATTCTATGACCTCCCTCCTCCTCTTATCAATTCAGGCTCCTCTCATTTGGCTCTAAAGCCTGCAGCACGGTAGCTGCAAGGTGGACCTCCAGATCCCTTGACTGGATAGCAGTCAGGGGAGAGGAGGTCAGAGTCCAGGAAGGTCTCAGGTCATAGGCTCATAAGGCCAGAGAGGACCCTGGGTAATGTCCAATACCTTAATTTGATAGAAAAGGAAACCGAGGGTGTGACCTTCAGAGAGGTGAAGTCAAAATAAAAGCAAATGTCAGAGCTCACATTAGAGCATAAGATTCCTCAAAGGGCAGGTAAAACAGAAAACCCAGCTGAGCCTCCTTTCTACATAATCAGTAACCAGTGGGATATGAAATATGGCTCCAATACTGTAAGACTAGGAGTCCCTTAAGTACTTCATAGATACACAGATCTGCTAAGACACAGTGTCTCATTTCACAGTTAGTTTCGTTTTTAGGTTAATAATTCAGCCTCTGTGCCCAAACCTGGGCTACGCAGAGAAAGGTACCAAAAATGAAAAACCGAAAAAATCCATAGCTGCTTCTCCACGGAAAGAGATTAAGATTTATTTGGAGGGAATAAGTATTGAGCATATAAATTACAATATGATTCAGTAATGATGACTAGTAAGATAAGAGATTTAAATTAATGCTATAGCTATTCAGAGGGAGAGAGGATTAAGAGCTGGGGTGGAGAGAAAGGGAGGTGGGTATGCCTTCTTTCCCAGCAGTGTCTCAACAGCCCTCTGCCTGATTTCTTTCTCTATAAAGCAAATCCTGCCTTCTACTTATCACAAGGATTCTGGGAAGACAGAACAGATAGAAATGTGCAACCTTGGAGGAAAGTTCCTGGTATTACAATCACAAATGAAGGTGGAAGCCGACTACTGTCTACTGCAAAACCCCAACTCTACACGATGGCAAGGAAGATCTTTCAACTTCATAACCTGGGTAAGGAGTAAGGTGATAATTCTTGCATTATGCAACTTTCAAGGAAAAGAAAACAAGAGTCAATATTATTTTCCAATATCATAGGCTTAAAAGGCCTAAGTCTTAGTTTTTGTACTCCCTACCCCTCCCTTCTTCTTAAGACTGGTACAATCAAAACGTTCCATGAAATATTTAAAAAATACATAAAATGCATATTTTCCAATTTTTGTTTTGATTGTTGACTACATGTTTCAATATCACAACTAAAACAGTTTCCATTGCATACATAGGTCGCTATGGGTGATTTCCACTGCCACGTGTTTAATTAAGATTGTATGGTTATTTGTACCTCAAAATTTTTCACAAAACAGAAAGGCAGATTTCACTGAAAATTTACCTAAAGTGAACAATGATTGAAATGATTTGGAGAAAAACATACCAAAAGTCATTTGCAATGAAAATAAGTCAAAAAGGGGGGAGGGTGGGGAGATCCTTTTAAAAGCATCCCAGAGTGAACAAAAGGCAGTAGAGGGATTTAATCCGATGCGGAGACCTCAGTTATCTGCAATAGAAGGCACTTTTTGCCTCACACACACAGGTACCACACTGGTCCAAGGAGGGTACAGAACCTTGCTCAAGCATCACAGCTAGTGAATAAGTGGCAGAGCTTAGAAAGAACCAAGTCTCTTGAGTCCAGGGCCTTTGTTCTGTTCAGGATTGCCAAGGTTTGAGGCATTTTTGGTTTCCTACAGCTCGTCAATTCAAACTTGAAGCTTGCTTGTGAAAGGGAATTCCAAGGTGTGTGTCCAGAGATATTCTGGTCTCTAGAAAGCCCCGGACACGTGGGCACTAGTGAACTGTAATCAGGGAGCTAGTCAGGGTCCCTTTTAAAGCATGCGTCACTCTACTCTGTGGTGTCTGGACTGAAGGGGGTGAATGGCCTTAAATTGAAGGCATCATCTCTGCATGGAAGAGGGCTGTGTATCTGGATCCAGCACAGCATTAGGCACATAAAATACACTCGATTTGAAAAAACCTTGTAAACAGAACACTGGGATTAACATGATCATTTCTGTTCCAAGATGATGCAACAAATCATAGCTGTGCACACACATAACTGTGGAAGATCCACATCAGAAGCTTCTAAGATTTAAGTTAACAAAGAAAGGCAACAGAGATATAAGCTTGGATTCCCAAATGTGGAATAAGGGACAAAGGTACAAATAATACTTCCTAACACCTCACAGAGAGGAAGGAAATGGCAGGTAAGTATATGTAAATCAAAGGGAAATAAAAAGCTGTCATCAGGGCTTTTATTTTTTTTTTAATTTTTTTGCGGTACGCAGGCCGCTCACTGTTGTGGCCTCTCCCATTGCGGAGCACAGGCTCCGGACGCGCAGGCTCAGCGGCCATGGCTCACGGGCCCAGCCGCTCCGCGGCATGTGGGATATTCCCGAACCGGGGCACGAACCTGTGTCCCTTGCATCGGCAAGCGGACTCTCAACCACTGCGCCACCAGGGAAGCCCTCATCAGGGCTTTTAATCTTCTCATTGTACAACTGATTCACTTTAGCACAGTCAGAGCAACCTCTGTGCTACTCCCACTAGCTGAAAAATGTTGCTTTAGCTGAACTCAGAGTATCCAAGAGCCTGATTAGAGCTCTTCCAAGTACGTAAATTAATACTAGCAATGCCACAAAAATAAAACACTGCCCATCCACTTGTGCATATATCCGTCTTTTCAGCCATTATCCCAAGTCAACACAGCCTAATCTTTACCATGATTAGAACCACAAACACTGCCTGGATTGGCAGGTTTTTATGATCAATCTTTCACTTTCTTCATGAATAATTTTCTCAGAAGTATTTTAAATCTAATGTGTATAGTTTTACCAAATTCGCTATTAAAAAAATCTTTTTATATAGTTCATCTCTCTGGTGTGACTGTGAACATTTTAGGGTAGCACATGGTTGTCCTGGCAGTAGGTTGATGAAACCCAAAACTGGGTTTTCTAACTGTAAATCTAGGATCTTTCTACTTTCTTTTCAGGAAAGAAAAGCCAGGCTTCTTCTATCCCAGGCCACAGACTGGCCCCAATTACCCCAAGCAATGATCCCACAGATGTAAGCCTGAGAGAAAGCCTGCACCCAATCAAGCCACTGCCACCACTGGAAAAGCAAGGTCAGGAGCAGACCCCACTGCAAGTGGGGCATGACTTCTACATCGTGAAAATAGCCTGCACTTGGATCCACTGCCTAGATACAGGCTCCTAATCGCTCCTAGTTGCATAAATTTCAGGGCCCTTGGGGCTACTCAGTGTAGCCAAAACTCTTAACTACACAAAAGGGAGTTGGATATTTTGGTGTAATAGAAAGAGGATACCCAACACTCTTGACAAGCCCTACAGTCTTGGGTTCATATTCCAACTCTATAACTGAGTCGCTTTCTGAACCTCAGTTTCCTCAACAGGTAAAGAGAGGTGTAACACCTCCTCTCAGAGTCATTGTTAAGCAAAACGCCCAGTTCAGTGCCTGGCAAACAGTGGAGACTCAACAAGGTTGGTCTACTTCCTACTGAATTCTCTGCTCAGAATATTTTCTTGCTTGTTCTCTGAATTCCTGGGTCAAAAGCTACTTCTGATAAACCTCCCGAATAGCCTAACCAAGTTCCAAGTATAGTTTATTAAAATCATCTCTATGTGTGTGGTTCTGATAATGTTTGATATCTCAAATTCAATCTTGCTACTCAATGTGTGATCTGCAGACCAGCAGCCTCAGCATTACCTAGAAGTCTGTGTGAAATGCAGAATCTCAGGCCCCACCCCAGACCTACTGAATCAGAATTTATGAGATCCCCAAGTGATATGTTTACATCTTAAAGTTTGAGAAGCACTGCCTATAACATACTTGGACATTCAATAAAACAGAGCCTACGGACACTCTAAGGAATCCGCTATGGCACTTTTGCTGCCGGTGGTGCTCTATGAATCTTTATTCAAGTAGAAAGCAACCACTGATTAAGGCATTTTCACTGGAAGGACAGGAGAACTGTACATTTCTTTCTTTGTGTTTCTGAGTTAAGAAAAAGAAGATGCGCTAAGTACATTAGCCTTAAGGCAATATTTAAATCTCCTATGTTCACGTGATCTTTGTATATGTAATAAGTGCTCTGAGTATAATTAGTAATATGAGCTTTCTGATTATATGTAAACCAATAAATAACAGGAAGGATACTTTCAACGTAGTAACTTCTGGTTTCTAGGATGTAACACCTATCAGATTGATTAGAAATAAGCTTCCACAGGGCTTCCCTGGTGGCACAGTGGTTGAGAGCCCGCCTGCCGATGCAGGGGACGCGGGTTCGTGCCCCAGTCCGGGAGGATCCCACATGCCGCGGGGCGGCTGGGCCCGTGAGCCATGGCCGCTGAGCCTGCGCGCCCGGAGCCTGTGCTCTGCAACGGGAGAGGCCACAACAGTGAGAGGCCCGCGTACCGCAAAAAAAAAAAAAAAAAGAAAAAGAAATAAGCTTCCACAAATTGGATGTTCTCAACAACACAGGACGATAAAGTTCTAAAGCGTGTCTTTGTTTCTAATGTACACTGTGATTCTGTACATGTGCCTCCCCCAACCATCAACTTTCTGAATTATTTTTTAGTTCTTTCCAGTTATATGTGAAAGTACAATTTTTAAATGCTCCTGAAAGTTAAATTTATGACCCAAATTCCTAAAATGAATCACCAAATGCTGGATACGGGAGGCTGGTAACTCTGTGTATCAGGAAACAAAAACCAATCTGAGTGAGTCATCTCTGTGATCACAGATAACACAGCCACAGCCAGGGCTTGGCGCAAACAAATGGCTACAGCAATCACACACCAGAATCTTGTGTTTAATGGTTTCTCACATTAAAATGCATCAGTCAGCTCTGTGAAACCAGGAAGTGGAACCCAGGACACCACATAAATAACAAGTACACTCTCTTGAGTTGGTTATATTTTATCCTTCTGCTGTATTTCAATTTTTGGTAGATACATAAAAATGAAGGTACTGTTTTGTCAAGAGGTAAGCAGAAAGGTAAAAGCTAACTAATATCACAGGTTTTCTGAAATATTTCATAAGAAAATTCCAATACTTTTTGGAGGCCTGTTTATTGAGGCCTTTGATCCAAAATGAAAAAGGTGATCAGAAGCTGGCGAATGCCTCAAAAAAATGTAACAAGAGGAAGTGGTAATAGGCTGTAGAAGCAGAAAAGCCTGTTATCATTTGATTCCATGTGTAATCTTTATGCATGGCTTTTTCTCAGGTACTCCAAGCTTGAAAGGGAAGATGAGTGGGAAGTGAACTCGTGCTACACAGCATTGCCATCTAGATGTTGCCCCTTGCAACCACCAGCAAACTCCTCCAGAGTGAAGGACCAGGTGTCCTCTTGAACCCCTGGACAGGGGATATATGCCAGAACTGAGCCTGCCCCATGCTGGCCAGGCTCAACACAGGGATAATGCAAACACCCAGGCTATGTTTATCAAAAGGGGGTATCTCCTATCAACACCACACACCCATTAGCAGGCAGGACTCCCAGAAAACACTGCTTAAACAGTAGACATGAGCTCCTAAACCCACCATCTGAAACACTGGAGACCAGTTGGGGGCAATGGCAATAATCCCAGGCCCCTGCCTTCACAAGAATCCTCCCAGAGTAAAAAAAAAAAAAAAAAATCTATAATTTCTGAAATAGAAACAGGATTAAATAGCTCCATAAAGCCCCCATGCCCACTCCCATTATTTCCATGAGGCATACACTACCTCATAATGAAGGGAATAAAAGGTGCCATGCTGAGAGCAGAACAGGCGCCATCCATCGGGGAAGGGTAGAGCCTCCCCAACACCAAAAGTAAGAGAAACATGCTGGGATGATGGTTTAGTTCTCCTGTATCACTGAAAAAAGAAAAAAATTATTGTACATAAAAGATAGGCAAGGCACTATCTTCAAACGTTTTTCTCATTAAATAATTATGTATGACATATAAAGTGAGACTATGATCAGCAATAATTTTCCTTTTTGCGTTTTTTCCTCCATTCACTTCATATTTTCTTAGTGTGTAAATGAGGAAGAAACTGGCAAAGCCGTGGATTGGGCTTTTGCACAGGATTCTCTTCTCAAAGCATATGATTTGATAATTCGAGTCTGCTGTTTTGATTTCAGCTGTTCAGACATTAGAGAGGTGTTTATTCCAGAGTATGAAATGTGAAACTTTTAACATCCAAATGTACTTAAGAAAGCGTGGACAGTCACTTACTAGGGCCAGAAAAGCCTGTCTGCACAAATTACTAATGTGAGGAAATGGATCATAAACAGAAGTAAAATTCACTGATGCGATTTTATTTTCTCATTACAGACAATTGGTATAAATTCATGCCAAGTGCAAAAACTGCTAAAAGAATAAAATGGTCCATGCTCTAAGATGTCCATTCTAAAAATTATACTACCAGCCACAGAATGTGATTGAAAAGACAATGGTGAACTTTTTTATCTGCTCTGATCAGACTGGAAGCCCTCTTAATAGCATTATTTTGTGTTTCCAGGGTCACTGGCCATCTTCACTCAAGTAGAATAGTACCATTTCTGATCACAAGTGACCAGATTAGTCAGCTGCAACAGGCCAGTGATAAAAAAAATGACAGGTGTGTGTTAAAGCAAACTCAATATGTAAACACACAGATTTTGAATATAAGAGGAAGAAAATGATTCTTAGAAGACATCACCATGTGCTTCTAAAAAGCTAACTCCTATAAAACACTAAAAACTTTAAAAATAGGATTTTTAAAATGTAAAATATAATATAAAACCCGGATTTTATACAACCTTTCAGGTACATATCTACTACAGAGTGTCAGGCAACATGATGTATTTAATAAAGACGCACTTAAAAAAAATCCATCTATGTTTACAAGGAAGGAGCTGATTAAAAATTGCTGCCTGAAGGGAAAAATCTTGAAGTAATTCACATCCTTGATTTCACTTTGCCCCACCCTATTCTCTTCTTACCTGTCCACGGTATTGGCTACAGTTTCCAACTGTTTGAGAAGAAAGGGATAGAGTTCGGGGAAACGAGAGAAAAATTCACTCCCTGTCATCCTGTGGAGAGAGAAAAAGAGATAAATTACTATCATTTATTCCTTCTGATTTGATAATAAAGCCTTTTAATTTATTTTTTAAAGAATGACAACAAAGATCATTTGTTTGAAGATTTAATGAAATAAAGTTAAGAACAAAACTCACATCTGAAGAATTTAACAATCAATAGAAACAAGAGATTTAATTTGGATTTTGGAAATGCTCTTAACGCATGGAATTTTATCTCAAAATTTAAGATTACATACGCTTACAAGTATTTAATATTAACTTCTGACAGGGAAGAAATATGCAATTTGTGAAAATGCCAAGTTTCCACAATTGATTTGGACTCTGAGTATAGTCAGCACCTGGTGGACTGAGACTGACTCAGCTTCAGTAGAAAGGGCAAATGTAAAACGAGGTTTCTCGAAGTCGGCACCAATGGCAGCTTGGATGAGCTCCTCTTTGTTGTGGAGGCTGTCCTGTGCATTGTAGAGGGTTTAGCAGCCTCCACAGCTTCTACCCACTAGATGCCAGTAGCTCAACACCTCCTCCTCCCACCAGCTGACAACCAAAAATATCTCTGGACATTGCCAAATGTACCCTGAGAGGGAAAAAAAGGTTCCTAGCTGAGACCCACTGGTCTGGAGCATGGTTATCAGAAGACATGGCATGTGAAGCTCTGGAGCGCCAGTCTGAGAGGGCTACCTTTTCCCTCTTTATAAATACTGCCCCCTGAACTCTGACAAGATTCTGAAAATAGGTCCTCCAACTGTACAACCGACAAAAAAGCTCAAGCTAAACATAGCGTTTGGTGTTAAGTACTGTCTCCAAAACTATTAAAGAATTACTCTGAAGGGGTAACATAAATATTCCCCAACTTGCCCTTCTTAGCAACTCTAGATGCATGCTCCTATTAATGAAGACCCCAAATATCATTGTTTAAAAATTGGGGTTAAAAAAAATTGGGGTGTATTTCACACACAGTGAAATGCTCAAACCTTAAGTGTGCCATTCGATCAATTTTCACAAATGCATACACTCACGTAATCCAACCCTATGAAGCCTCAGTAATTTTCCATCATCCCAGAAAGTTCCCTTGTGCCCCTTTCCCAGTCAATTCTGAATCCTCAAAGCAACCATGATTTGATTTCTATCACCACAATTTGGTTTTGTCTATTCCAGAATTTCATATAAATGTAATAATGCATTACATAACTTTTTGTGTCTGGCTTTTTTCACTCAGCATAAAGCTTATGAGATTCATTTATGTTATTCAACATATCAATAGTTTGATTCTTTTTGAATATACAAGGTTGTTTATCCATTCTTCTCTTGACAGACAGGGACTGTTTCCATTTGTTGGCTTTCATGAATAAAGCTGCTATGAACATTCTTACACAAGGTTTTTTGTGGACATATGTTTTAATTCTTCTTAGAAAACTGACTGTTTTCCAAAATAGTTATAGCATTTTACACTCCCAACAACAAATAAGCCTTCTAGTGGCTCTATATCCCTTCCAACATTTGCTGTTGTCTTTTTTCCATTTTAGCCATCCTTGTGGGTATGTAGTGGTATTTCCCCATTATTTTGGAGAGAAGTGATTACTTTTGTTTGTTGCATACTTTTTAAACCTTACCACATGTTATAAATTTTCTTTTATACCTATTTCATATTCAGTAAGATCAAATTTTTTAAAAAGTCCTTACTCTATCCCTTACTTTATCCCTTATTCTATCGTTACTTTATCCTCAATAAATAAGTTACAGATTTATTGAACATTTATTGGACATTTTATGTTAAATAAGCTCATATCCTTTTTGTACTTATTAGATATTTTTATGGAAAAAATTAATAAATATTATAAGAAACACACTAGACTGCCCAGTGCCTCTCCTCATAGAAAACTATGCAAAAGTATCTTAGCTTTCTCTTATAAAAAATTCAGTGCATTAAGTACTTACTTTTCATTTGATTTTTTTCCCCCAACAAATATGCATATTACATATACTGCTGTGCACCTTGGTTTTTTTTCATCTAAACTATATCTACCAAGTCATTCAATATCAGGCATCCTGAACTATTTCTTTCCATTTAATGGCTGCAGAGTAAACCACATTATGGTTGACTGTAACTGATTTAATCCCTAATGGTTAGGGCTTTGGGTTGTTACCAGTCTCTTGCTGTTACAAAGGATAACATGTATAAATTTCATCGTTAATAAATCGCAAACCTGGGCTTTGCAAGGTCAATGTTTTATTGAGGGGGAAGACAAAACAATTCCACTACAGGCTACGTTACATTCCTTACCACCTCCAAGCAAAACTGGTCAAGAATATCAGCTTCCATTTTTAGTAGAGTCACTTAAAAATAAAACTGTAAGAGTTCAGTACTGGGATCCCTGAGTACATTTGCTCATACAGAACATCTCCATCTACACAACAAAGCCTGGTGGATATCTCTTCTCAAGGAATCAGTCACTAATTTCCAGGGGAGTAAGTCATTCCTTAATGGCCTGATATCTCTTGGTGGAATAAGAAAGACAAGCATTCTCACTTAAGTAGACCATATGGTTGCTATCACCATCATCTAGAAATTGCCTTGATAAATAACTGGCTCTGCTGACCATGATAATGCCAGAGAAAAGGGCTGAGGAGCTACTATTCTAAAATTAAAACTTTTTTTTTCTTTTTTGGCTGCACCGTGCAGCTTGCAGGATCTTAGCTCCCCAACCAGGGATTGAACCCAGGACTTCATGACAAGAAAGTAGAAAATATAGGATGACATACGATTTTTTAGAAATCTGAATGCCAGACTAGATAGATTCACCTGTCTTACAGGCACTTAAAGTATCTGAATAGGAGAGAGAGGTGACAAGAGCAGACAGACTAGAGAGAGTAGAAATGTGGTGACCCCATGGACATTCACTAAATGTGTACCTTTTCACCTCAACTACAGCATTAATATCTACAGGCATCTATACTTCCCTGCATCTCTCTTGATACACAGCACAATACTATGTACATGCTGGTTGACTGGTAAATATTTTGGCAATGAATGAATAAGTAATATTAGCCACAGAGGAAAAAAAAATTCTAATATAGTTGACCTCAAACCTATGCCTTATGCCTTTTTTCTTCTCTCAGTGACTGGTACCCACCCAACTGACACTTAACTACTCACCCAACCTGCCAAGCCTGAAACTCCCAGTACACCCAGTCAACAGGCAAATCTTGCTACTTCTACCTCCAGGGTATCTGTTGAGTCTATTTCCCACCATCCCCACTACTTACAGGTCTGACCACCATTATTTCTTGCCTAGATGCTATGTCAGCCTCTCACTTGATCTCTTTGCCTCACATCTTCCCCCTCTGTAACTCTCTGTTGTGATAAGAATTCTCTCTTTAAAATACAAAGCTAATCATGCGACATTAGGAGATTAATGGCTCCCTACTGCTTTTTGGACAGTCTAAACTCTTTAGCCTGATTTTCAAAGTTCTGCTTAATCTGACTCACTTGTCCAGCTATCTCTTGCCTCTCCACCTTCAAACCCAGCCATGCAGAGTTTCTTTTGGTTCTATCAACATTACATGCTCTTTCTAGTCTCCAGATGTTGGCAAACATACTTTCTGTTAGGAACACGTCTGCCCTCCCCCACCCCAGACTAACTCCAAATAATCCTTCAATTTGAGGCTTAGGCCAGCTTCTTCCAGGACACCTTCCCTGATGGCGCAAATGTGGGTTAGGTGCCTGACACTGGTCTTACACTATAATCTACAACCTCCCCATATATAGCAGTTCATACATAGAACTTCCAATTTACTTATTTCTCCCACTGATTACACGTTCCACACAGGCAGAGACTAACTATATCTATCTTATTTCTCCATATTATCTCAGGTACTAAGTATGACGCTCAGTTCACAGCTGGTGCTTAATAAACAGTTGCTGAGTGAATGAAGCTAGACGAAAGAGTCCTTGACAAAGTCAAGGAGAAAAGGAATTATGACTAAGATGGTAACAAATTAATAATTTCTTAAAGTGCATCCTTAGCTATATCTAAGGACATTCAGAATCATCATCTGAATTAATAAACTGAGTACCTTGCCAGGGCTCGAAATGTTCTTAAACACAAATATACAAAGCTCATCTCCCTGGTTTGCAAACTGTTTGATTCTAGCTCCCCAAAATAAGCCAACAGGCTGATATGTTACCTCCCCAGATATAGCAAGCCCTGGGGGTAAATTCACCAGTGACAGGCATTTCAAACCTGTTTATCTACGTGGCCAAAAACTAGCCCAGCAACTTTACAGGAAACAAGAGAAATGATAAAAAGGAAAAACTGAACCTCTGTAAGTTCAAGCTCCTAGGAAGACAAAGGAGACCAGCAAAAACTCTCAATGGGATAAAACAGACAGACACAGGAGAAAACAAACAAGCCAGGATAGAGAGTGAGAATAAGCAGCTTCAACCTTGGAACTGTCAGACTACACAAAAGGTGAGTTATTCCCTATCCCACCAGGTAAGAATTAGGCAGACACAACCGATGAGAGGCTCTTGGGGGAAACACAGAAGCTGCCTGAAGAAATCCACTTGCCTTGCACCAAGAATAAGGTGTCAGGAGCACAGAGTGGCTGTGATCTCCACCAAGGCGCTCCTCGGTCTACCATGTTCAGTGCTGGACTCCCCCAGAGCCCAGCTGGGGCCGAGAACAGAGTAGACTAGCAAGAGAGGTTTACTGAATGAAAGAAAATGCTTGCCTGGCACCATTTTGTTTTATTTCAAAAAGCGATTTTAAACGTATTCCAGCACTTCTTATTTATCGAGAAAAAATTAGATAATAAAGAACACTGCAAAGAAAAACCTAAAGTTCACCACAAACACACTACCCAAAGATAGCTACCAGTCTGTTTTGAGGTCTGTCTATACCTTTCTCCTCCTTACATACTGCTCAATAATCTGTTTCTTACACTTCACAATATATCAAGGACACTGTTCCATTATCAATCTGAACCCATTT